TGTTGAAGAAGAAAGGAATTCCTGAATGTATTTTATTTGTTACTCAACGTTTAACAAAATATCCACTACTTGTGGAACCACTTATCAAAACGGGAATTGCGCAAGAAGAGGGTGAAGATTTACGCAAAGCTTTAGTTCTTGTTAAAGAAATTTTGGCAAATGTGGATACATGTGTTGCTGATAAGGAAAGGGAAGATAGAAAATTAGAAATCTATAATAAGTAAGAAAATTATATATTTTATAAAATATATATTTCCAATTCTTTCATAGTTATTAATGATATGTCTCTTGTTATTATCATTTAGGATTGACGCAAAGTCTTTTGCGACATATCGTGGTGCCAAGTTCAAAAAATCAGATATTATGGCATTTAATAGAATTTTAAAATTCGAAGGTACTGCGTATTTAATGCAAGGTCGTGGAAAAATGACTGCCATTGTAGTGGTTGTTCTTTCTGACATATTATTTTTTTTGGCTGAAAGAGATCAGAAATATGCATTTTTTGTGCCTGACAATAAGGCTGGTATAGTATCGCTTCAAAAATTACTAGTTCGTGAAAAGGCGGGTCAAGAATCTAGAGGAATTTATTTAATAAGTAGCAATCCAGCTGAACCTGAAATGTTCGAGTTAAAAATTCAAAAGCCAAAAGATAAACAATTGTGGATACAAGCAATTAGATCAGCAGTTGAAGCCTGTCCGCAAGAACCTGAAAATGAAACTGATATATCAACTGAAAGTAATAATAATAATGAATTAAGAGATACACGTTCCTCTTCTATATCGTTACTTTCTGTTGAAGAAAAACAACGTTTAGTTAAAACTAAAGAATCGCATGTTCTTAAGATAATTGGTATGTGTGATATCTTATCATTAAATAATATATTACTTATTATATTATATATATATATATTAATTTCAAAATTATATAATAAATATATTATTTTACATTATTATAATTAGGTGAATTGCGAAAGAAGGATGCGGAACAGGCATTATTACTCGAAGAGAAAATCAATTTACAAATACAACTCTTACATGCTGCTAATATTTTGAATGGAAATGAAAGTAGTGATAATGAGAAGATAGAAAAAGCTGATAAAGAAATTGCAGATTATACTAGATTAGTTCATAACGAAGGAACTGATACTACACAATTACGGCAAGAGGTTGTTCTATCTTATTGTATATATTTTTAAATTAAATTATTATTATTATAGAGGATATTCGAAGATTTCTATGTATATTTTATCGAAATCGAATTTATAAATGTTTAATTTTATAAATCTTATAACAAAAGTACAATATATAGAAAAAATGATATATTACTTTTGTTCATTTAGTAATGTTTGCTTTTATTATATAAGTTGCATTTAGTAAATTTAAAACCGTATTTATCGAAATTACACAGATTTACAATGAAAATCGATTCACAGACAATTTAACATATAAAAATAGTATTTCAAGATATATGAATAGATAGTTATAACATTTCTTCCATGTTTATTTAACATTTCAGTCAGGTATTGTTTGTATTTATAATAACTTATTTTAATCATGTGCAAAACACTGGCAAAGTTAGTATGAAAAGTAATTTAATATATATCATGCAATTGAAACTAAAAAATAAATAATCTTTTTTTGTAGGTGGTTGTAGCTATTCAAGAAGCAACAAAACTTGCTAGCTCATTATCTTTTAGCGCGGGTGGTGCTACTCTTTCGAGAAGTTTAAGTTCTGCAGGAGAGCGACATAGCGAGGCCTATGTTCCGTCTGCACTTTGTATTCCTCGAAGAGCTGAGACATTTGCGGGTTTTGATCACAACAAAGTAAATATACAATACATAAGAGTTAAAATCAAAATAATAATTATATTCTTTTCTCAGGAAAAATATCCGTTGCGAGAGTCTGCAATTCATTCTGTAATTTCTCTTCCAAAAGTTAGTGAATTTATAAAAGAAAATCCAGAAGAAAAAGGAAATCAAGAAACAGAGATAAGTAAAGAGCAACAATGGGCAGCGATTCGTTTGTCTCATCATGTTTATAGGTTGGTCTGTATAATTAGTAATCAAATGACGACAATTGACAGTCTACAGGCTCAATTAGCTGCGTGTAAAGAAGGTAGTATGGGCAAATTAAATAACAGACCTAATCCAAATCGCCAATTAGAAGAATTACGTAATTTACAAGATAAATTAAGTCAAGAGAAAGCAGCGTTTCGCACCGCATCACAACAAGAACAAAAGCAATTAGAAGAAGAACGAGCTGAATTGGCAAGACTACGTGAACAATTAGCAGCGGAACAGAGAGATGTTACACAACAGCGAGACCAATTATATCGACGGCTCGAAGCATTAGAACGACAAGGGGTGACATTAGTTACAAGCTCTGCACCTAGTTCTACAACTATTCATCTGTCCCATTTGACACAGGGATCTGATACTGTACAGACACGAAAAACGCAACCGGATGCTAAAAGAATTCCGTTAAATTTAATTAGTGCTACTAATCAGCAAAAAGTGCAAAGTAATCTTCCAGTAAAACAACAATTGCCTTTAAAACTTGCTAGCGGAAGCAACAATAATACTAGGCAAGTATATTAATTGGAAAATGTGTTTAGAGTACAAAAAATATAAAAGAAATTACTAATAATAATCATAATGATAATAATACATATCACAAACTTGTTTACTTTTTTTTCAATAGTTTTAACTTTAGGTAATTGTCTTCTTTTTGTCATGGTTTTACTTGCTTCAGTTTCTCCTTATTGTGTCTTATGTTTCGTAAACTCATATTTTTATAGTTTCCTCATATATACTTCCATGCATTATACAACGAATAATTAATATAAGATATACTTTAATAATGCATTTTTTTATTTAATATAGAAGTGGAAACACGAGTAATAATAGTCCAGATCGGCATTCACGAACGGGAAGCAGTCCGGCAATTGTAACTGGCTCTACGTATTCTTCACCAGAATTAGGAAACAATCATGCTGGTACGAGCCAAACTCATTCCTCGAATCGTTCGCTTAGAATTACACGATCACCTCCAGAATATTCACATCAGCAACAGCATCAGAGAACGGAACAGCAGCAACCTTTGGAAGAAGAAGTAATCTTTTTCTGACGTTTCTTTCGTTTTGGTCGGAAACATTCTCGATCGTCTCGTCCTACAACTGGCGAAGCTACCCCGACTTCCACACTAACTCCTTCCCGAAATCAATCAAAAGATGCTCAACCTAGAAGTCGTGTAAAGTCATTTTGACTTTCAACATTCTCTCGGTAAGACTCTTTCACTATTGTTGCACATTTCCTTCGTGATTACCACTATTACCCTTTTAATTTCTCCATTTTCATATCATGTTTATGTCACGCTTCTTCCACGAACACTTCTTTTTCCCATTTTTACTTTCTCCTCTTCTTACTTGCCCGTGCCTTTCCTTCCATTCTCTTTCTTATTATTTTTCTATCATTAACAATTGTATTCATTCGTTGTAAATTGACAAATGCAACATAGTACATAAGTGATGCATTTAAGGTGTCCATAATAACAGTGTGATTGTCAATAAAAAAAAAAAAAAAAAAAAAA